CGGACTACACTCTAGCTGCGGACCCAGCCGACGAAGAACATGCCTAACATGGGCGCCCTTATTTCGAACAGGGCAGAGTTCCGTTGGCTGTGTGCGTCTTCCTTTGCCAAAGTGAATTTGAATTAGGTGTGGTAATCTGCGTACCAGAAATATTATTGTTAACTTGCGATACGCAATTTGTGCCACATGTGATTGTTTTGAGCCGTGAGCCGGCAAAAGGAGATTGCAGCAAATATCGGTGACGCTGCGCTGCGCTTCGTCTGAAAGCAGGATTCCGCGGCGACATACCAATGCAAACAAACATCGTGCGTATCTGCTTCATGGTGTTTTATTTGCGCCTAAGTGAAGTTACGGTGAAGGGAGTGTGCCAAATCCTGGTATATACTTTAAGCGGCGGCTATGTTTGTGTTTGTGTCCCTCCGTTTCTCGTTGAAGGTGGCGAAGTGATAGAGCAAAACCTGTATCAAAATAAATGAGAAAATCTAGCGTGGATGAAACCAACCTACGAGTTTACCAACAGAAAAGATTTGCGACGGCAAGCCCCAACGCGAAGATTCGATGCTGCCGGCTGATGGCAGCAACGACCGATGGGTGGCGGCAATGTGATAACATAGCCGAGTTTCGATCAGCGTCGTTCGAGTGTTTTGTAGCACCGTCGATCAATTGATTTCCATCAGTGCTAACAATCAGTGACTTACACGCGCTGCTTCAAAGAATGTCATTGGATTAATAATGGTCAGACGTTTGCTAGCAGTGTTTGTTTTCTTAATGCTAGCCACACGGTTAATACAAAATTATGACTGATACACTGCTGCCGTTACAAGGGAGCATGGCACGAATTTGGGCCGCTTTGTGGCTCACTACAGCTTGCGCTCACTACACGCGCAAGCTGTAGAATGCCTGCTGTGTCGCAATCACGCATAAGTTTCGCTGCCAGCAGCGATCGACTTGCTTTCACACAACAAAGCTTAGTGCTGCTTTTCGATTATTGTGATATGTCGCTACTAAAAAGTTCCTATGAGAGTGAACGGAACAGAGCCATTATGTACATTAAAAAAACTACAATAAAGTAGGCACAGCTGCTTATGAACTGACTCCTAATAGTTTATTCTACTTGCGTCTGCGTTAAATGTGTGTGCGTTTTAGCGCACATTTATTATTTTACTCTTTTTTGTACTTTGGATCAGTTTTTGTGCTCGCGTTTGTGTGAATGTGTGAATATGTAAGCACTTTCATGTCTGTACATGTTTATTCTCATTTCTGTTATTCTTGCGCTTATTTTTGCAACGCATGCTGCAGCCACATCTTTCTTTACAATTATATTACCACGTTCAACATTGCTGAGCATTTTCCGGTATCTAAATATCACAACACAATGCTAGCAAAGTTAATCATGTTAAAAATAGTGCTTGAATTTGCGTTACTTGCCCAAGTCAGATTAATAAATTAAAAATTGGCCATGGCAACACTTCGATTCTTCATGCAGCCTGGTAACATAATGATAAAGTGTGCTCCGACTACTGCTATTTCACAACGGGGCGCGTCACATTCGACGGTGGCTGCCTGAACGAGCAAATTGGGTTTCACTAAGCTAATGATGTTTTACATTTGTTATGTTATTCGCATTACTTGTGTGAGCCAGAGAACCAAAATAAACAATGCGACAACGTGAATGCGCTTTGGCAAGCAAGCTGCTAACAGTGGCTGTCAGTTTCATGTTGAATGCTGCTATTTCACCAGCACCAAAGATGACAAGCAGGGCCCGATTAACAGTGTGGAGGGCCCGTTTAAAAAAAAAAGAAGGAGGGCTCCCCCCTCACCCACACCCTTTCTCCTCTGCTTTGTCTGCTGGTCATGCTTAAGACTTGACGCTTTTTAGATTTAGCTGCAAATAGCACAAGCCATATTTTTTCTAAGCCTCTGTGTAGTGTTTATTATCACCTGGGCGTTCTTTTTCTTGCGGAGCACGCGGGGATATTGTCGTCGTAATAAATAACTATATGAGGAGACATAGACAAATGGACAGCATTATTATCTGTGTGAAACATTGGATCGATCAATCTGAAAGAAGACCATTCTGTGCGACATTTATAGGTGTAGTCGAAGCACCGTGCTTGTTTCTTCTTTTTGATTTTACCTATGGTATCTACAGTATTGCTTACCCTCATTTTAAGAGAGAATATTTCCCGTCAAAAATCAGGGAGCGCCTTTGTGAAAAATGGCTTTCTCTATCTGCTTCAGCTTCACTGATTGGGTAGCGCACGCTTTGGTTGTCTGTGTGCGAGCACTGCTGAAGTTGACAGGTGGGCCTCTTTCAGACACTGTTCGCACGTGCTTAGAGTAAACACACTACCAATCGTATAGTTACTTTTGATTTCATACAACACACCTCAAAGCCCCTCTCATTATACTGTTCTTATGCATATTGTATATGCCTACTAATCACAACAATACAGATGGTCCAAAATTAATATTTTTGAATATGACAAGGGGGTGGGCCAAATCTTCCGGAATAGGTGGCGCCCATAAATAATGAGATCCTTGAATAGCTTTCACAGAAATGTCTTCAATAACACTAAAAAAACCACACATAGTGTTATTTATGCGCAAATCGCTCGCATTTAAACATGTAATACTGTTAAATTTTTACAGGCAATATTCACTCTCATAGGGCTATAGGAGAAGGAAACAAATTCATTGCAGACATGTTTTCGGCACTCCAGCAGGGAGGCTAAACTTTTTAGAACAAAACAACGAAGTTGGCCATTTTTCCTGGCCCTTGGGGGGCCCCAAAAAACTGGAAGGCTTGGTTCTTGAATCTCTTTAGACCATTGATAATCCGCCCCTGATGGCAACACATCGATTCTAAGTGCAGACTGGCAGCAAAATCATAAAGTGTGCTCCGACTACTGCTATTTCACTATGGGGTGCGTTACTTTCGACGGTGACTGCCTGAAGAAGCATTGTGGACGTCACTGAGCTAATAATGTTTTATATTTGTTCTCTTATTGCATTACTTGTATGAGCCAGATAACTAAAATAAATAAGGTAATCACATGAATGTGCTTTGGCATGCAAGCTGTTAACAGTGCTTTCAGTTTCATGCTGACTGCTGCTATTTCACCAACACCGGCTATGACAACACTTCAATTCTCAGTTCAGACTGGTAACAGAATCGGAAAGTGAGATCTGACTACTGCATTTCACTATGAGGTGCGTCACATTCGACGGTAGCTGCCTGAACGAGCATTTTGGACCTCGCTAAGCTAATAATGTTTTGTATTTGTTTTCTTATTGCATTACTTGTGTGAGCCAGATAACCAAAATAAACAGTGCAACAACATGAATGTGCGTTGGCATGCAAGCTGCTAACAGTGCTGTAAGTTTCTTGTTGACTGCTGCTATTTCACCAGCGATGGTCATGATAACACTTCAATTGTCAATGCAGACTGCTAACAGAGCAATAAAGCGTGTTAAACTCGACAGTGGCTGCCTGATTGAGCATTTTGAGCTCGCGAAAGAGGATCAGGGTTAGCAACAGCGTTTTAATTCAGATACGTCAGCATTGAAATGTGTTTCTATGCCACTTCCCCAATTGAGCGTCATGTGAGAGGGACGTTGCTTGACGGAATTGAATATGTATGAAAGGAATACGCCATAAATGGAACTGCTTATTTGATTGGGACGTCACGGAATGAATGGTTGGCTCCTGCAAACCCACCGGGCAAAAAGGTTTTTCCTTATTACGAAGCCGCTACGCTTCGTCAAGTGGCTCAATGCCAGAGAGCTCGCGGCCTTCCTCACTTTCATCAGCGTCATCTTCACCCAGCTGGATGATGAGGGGTTGAATGTGCTCACTCCCAGCTGTGTCAAGTCGGAACTTTGCCTCCACGTTTATTACGAGCTGAATGGTCTTCCTGAATGGTCTTCCGTTACCTGCTTGATTTTATGTCTCAAGAAGGCGTCTAATGTGGACAGCTTGAAGTCTCCGTTGTACACAGCTACACCATTTTGGACGTTGGGCCACACAAGCTCAATAGGAATAAATTCTCAGTGGTGTGGTGGGAGCCTGGGGACAATGCAACCGGCCCTTATAGCTCTGTTGTGTATGATGTTGCTCAGAAAGCGTGACTTGACAGATGCCACGAGGTCAAGCAGCTGCTTCTTTATCATCCTTTTACTGTAGGTGGGGTTCTTGCTTGTGAGCCACTACTGTATCTCTTCCTTCATCCAGGCCGTCATCAACAATTACTTCTCGCTGGCTTTGGTGAGGGGCATAGTCTAAAAGAATGACGCTACCACCTGGCAACTTCAACAAAACGTCAATGCACCAGCCCAAAAAAGATTGCCGTGCATTTCCTCGTCGTAGTCGCCTGTCTTGTGGCCTGGGAATACATCGAAGCAGCCGTCGACGAAACTATCCGCACTGCCTATGGGCGTTACGATCAGGCGCTGACGTTTCCCAGAAGATTGTTTTAGACCCGTCGTCAGGCCATTTGCTCGAGCGAATAGGCATCCGCGCTTCTTCGCCACGGTGTTTGTCCACACGATCAACCGAGTGTGTCCCGCTGCGTTCCATGTCTCGTCCTAGTAGAAGATCTTTCGGCCTTCCGGCCGGTAACGCTCCACGTCACAGAGGTAGCGACTCCGCCAATCGGTGATGTCATCCCGGTCGATAAGCAACAAGTTATATCGGCAAGCAGGCAGTCGATATGGGCAAGCAGGCGACGCACACTACACCGCCTTAGTGATGGGAGTTCTATACGCTCCAAGAACTCGGCAGTTATCTTCTCGACCATCGGTATCTCGTTGCGGCGAAAAAATTCGTACACACATGACCTCAGCGCACACAACGTGAAGCTGTGAAACTTCGCGTGCGTCTTCTCTCCCCAGAATGGCGTGGGCGCTTTAGCGAGGGCGTCATCAGTTTGCCACCCGAAAAATGCGAAGCCTTAACTTCTTCTCTTACCCTGAACACACTCTTTTCTCCGACACCGAGCATGTCGGCGACAAACCTGTTCGTGTCTTCCACGCAGCGTTCAGGCTCCCTGTTGTGCCAGTACGTGAGGAAGTGGAAGATCATTTTGCGTGAATCGGTATGTGGCCGCTCTTGTTTTTGCTGAATATCCTTGGTGGTGTGGCCATCGAGGTGACACAAGGCTCGTACGGCAACAAATGATCGCATTCTCATGTCACTTCACTGGGCTCCATTACAGAAAACTTGCACAGAACAGAGTTTCTCATTCATACAAGGTGCGAAACTCCCAATGTATCAAAATCTGAACACGTCATTGGCCCCCTTGTCGGAAGTGAGCACATTGTAGCGCCAGCTATTAATCGGCAGGCACACTAATAAACGCATTATTGAGTTTTGTGTTGTTGCTTCCAGACGGCGCGAACGTCAGCTAGCTTCCGAAAAATTGGGCCAACTGAGTGTCCAAATTCTGGAACGCAGTTTAGCAACTCTTATAATTGAAAAACTCTGGCATGATAAACCGTGCATCAACGTGCGCGAATTCACGAGATTGCAGGTTCACAACCGAAAAAAAAGCCTGACACATTGAAAAAGAAGCTTGTGCAAACACACACAAAAAACATAACCGTCTTCTGCTATGAAACCAGCGACTGCTTTATACCCTCCCGGTGCCATCGATCTTGCTCCGTAGCAGACGACACACAGCGTTGTAGAAAGCACGGAATTATTGTTTTTTTCGTGATCCGGCATGTGCTGTAGCATTTTTCTTTTTACAGTATTACCAAAGCACTCGTCGCGATACACAAATCTTATTTATACCGACAAACACGCGTTTTAGAAGCGGTAAATTTTTTTGTTTTTGAGCAGGACAATTTCTTTAGTGACGAAGCACTAAAGACGATAGTCTTGTGTGTGGAGAGAGTGAACAAAACATTCATGGAATGTAGTATGCAAGAAAATTTCTGAATGGTATTCTGATGGCACTGCGTTAGAATGCCTCGAGCGTGCAGCGGAGGCAAACGAGCGCATCAAGTCCCGTCACACGTGAGACATGAGCGCCATCTGGCAGTTTTCTTGTAAAACAAATCGCGTGGCTCTGAGACGGGTGCGCACCCGTCTCAGAGATTATAAAGTGTAGAACGCAAGGCGATGCGTAGGTGCCACCACCTTCCCGCCTTAACAAAGCGTTGGAAACACTCGCCTTTTCGTGTAAGCGTTGTATGGTCAGCGCAGCGTGATAAGCGCTACGGTCCTTAAAAATACTTATGTTTGCCTGTTCTAGTAAAAGACGCACAAGCAGAATATACGTGTTGTTGTGGCGCCTCAGAAATTTGTAATACTTGCTTTTTATTGACCATTGGAAGTGTATGAACACCAGAAAATTTTTATTTTTATTACTTTTCATCGCGCACAACCAACCTGGAGACCCGCACTGAGAGGGTTTTCATGTGTTTTTATGTTTGCTTCCTTTAAAAAAAATTGTGGAGAGTTAGCGCTCGCCCGTCTCTTTCTTGTCTCGTTTTTTTGAGCGCGAGAAAAAAGTTATAACATGAAGTGATGTAATGATAGAGGGCCCCTGTTCAACGCTAGCCTGCTCTGCAATGTCAGAGCACAAGGCGGGAAAGCGCCACACAGGTAAACCGCACCACAACTAGCCTTCAAGGAAAAGCGTCACACCAGATACAATGGGAAAATTTCACTATATTGTAACGTTCACTGAAAATATTTTCATTTGATCGTAACAATATAACTGAGTGATAACTGTGGTGAACGAAAACCTTGTCATAGTTGTTCGTTTCCCCAGCGTGCAGCTAATTGTGAGCACTTTCGAAAGTGGGGGAGGTTTAGCCCCCTCCCGATCACAAAGTTTCCTCAATGAGGGGTGGGGGGCAGTGCCCCTTTGCCCCCTTGGCATATACGCCTATGAATACACGTTGAATCAGCTGCGCTCTCTGCCACGCTTCTATCCAGTTTCCCGAGCTTGTCAGCTGCTGCTTTTCGCTGTCTGCTCTTCGGGTGTACGAACGCCCGAAGAGGAGACAATATTCCAACAGAGCCGATAGCTGATCCGTGAGATAATTTACGTTCGCTGGGCCGATGCAGCAGTCTCGGCACAAGAACCGTCTCAGAAGATGATGCGCAACAAGCAACTGCGCAATGAGAATCTGGTGGTGTTCCGACCCGAATTGTCATTGTGGCGGCATTCTGGTGGCCATGTTCTATAGCCACCGTAACGACGAACCGAGGAAGTGGTGTTTTAGGCCGAGCAGCGCCAACAAGGCAATAACGGAAACGTGTTTACCGAGGCTGACGACAGGAGTTTGTTGAGTGGTTTCGGGTGCGACGTCTGTAACACCTCTGGCCGCAGGTTGCAGCTTCACTAGCTAACCATCTATACGAAGTGGTAGGCGGTACTTTTTTCCGCTTTTGCTGAAAATGCACTTCCGCTTTACGGATGTGCGCTTGGAGTGTACATGCCATAATTGCTCTTCGCCGCTTTGGCTGATTCGGTGTGAACGAGCCTTCCGTGACATAAGGTTCTGTGAAGTGCGCTGAATAACTTCTGACGAGTTGCTTTGGCAGTAGACATAATGGCATACTGTGTACTTTACGCTAAAATTATTTCTTGGTAACTCTGCTACATAGCGAAAATGTTTTAGCTGTGTAAATAAACTGGCATGGTCAAGTGATTATAGTGGTTAATGCAGGTGAAGCTGTCTAAAATCACAAACTGGTGGCCTCGACGCCACGGTTTTTCCCTTTTCAGCTTATGCTATTCCAGCAATGTTATAATACAGTATTAGTACACCCTTGCGCTGGTTTTCTTCACTCCTGGTGAGAACCAGCAAAGGTCCAGCTCTCATCTTGTGTGTTCCTAGACCTGTGCTCTGTGCTCACTGTCTTTCATTATCCCGTGTGTCAGTGATTTGTTGGCTGGAGCACGATAAGAGGGCGAAAGCCATAATCAAATCATAATCAAGTGGCCATGATGAAGCCATAGGAGCTGCGTTCTGAAACATAATGCTGCTGTTCTGTATTGAGTGAATATGCAATAATTAGTGTCGTTTTTTGGTACTTGCAGGAATTCTACCGACTCCATTGAAAGAGGACACCAAGAACTCAGTGGTGGCTACAAAAATGCCAAAGGGAAAAGAAATTCATTGAGAGAATGCTGCTACAAATGTACCCTTTGTGACAAATCATTTAAGAGGAGGCGTTGCCTCAAACGTCATCTACGTACTCACATGGAGGAGAAGCCCTACGTGTGTGATATATGTGGCAAGTCATTTGCGCACAAGGGGAGTCTCAACGACCATCGCCGCACTCATACTGGCGAGAAGTCGTACGTTTGTGAGATATGTAGCAAGTCATTCACGCAAAGAACGAGTCTTGCAAATCGTCGACGCATTCATACAGGCAAGAAGCCCCATGTTTGAGAGATATGTGCCAAGTCATTCGCTAGGCCCACAAACCTTACAAATCATCTGCGTGTTCACACAGGTGAAAGGCCCTACGTCTGTGATATATGCGGCAAGTCTTTTGCGCAACAGAGGAATCTCAAATCTCATTGCCGAACTCATACTGGCGAGAAGCCCTACGTTTGCGAAATATGTGAGAAATCATTCTCGCAAAGCACATCTCTTAAAGATCATCGACGCACTCATACGGGTGAGAGACCTTACATTTGCGACATATGTCCAAAGGCATTTGTCAAATCGGGATATCTTAAATCTCATCGGCGAACTCACACAGGCGAGAAGCCTTGCCTTTGCGAGACATGTGGAAAGTCATTCGCACACTGGAATACACTTAGAAATGATCGATGTAGACATACAAAAAAAGAACCCCCCAAAAGCATTGCATGTGATAAGTCTTTCGTGCAGACTGAAGGTCTTATTCCAGATAAACTCATCGATACAGACACAAATTCCTATCAGTGGGAAAGTTTTTTTGAATTATATGAATTGCCATCATCTCCCAAAATGCATCCATTCGAATACACAAGATAAGCCCTAGGATTGCCAAAAAACGACGCGAAATATTCACGCAGACAGGCGATCTAATGCAGACAGATGATCGGTGCTTTGAATGAGGTGTTGATGAAGTCAACCAAGCAATCAACAAATCTATCGAGATGTCTTAGCGAAGTCTTAGGGAAGAGTCAACGTGACCGTTTTTTTTCACATTGCTGAGAAACTTTAAAAACCAAACATGCATGTGGTGGCCTAATTTCCCTGACTCTAAAATAGGGCCATAAGGAATTGAATGCATAATCTCAGCAGAGTTTTCTGGCTTTTTTTTTTAACTAGGCATAGGTTTTCTGCCAAAATATTCGACAGTGCCTAGATGCCAAAATATTCTGAATACATGTACTTACAGTACTGTACAGTCATACTGCCCACGAACATAGCTCTAGTAAAATCATTTCAACTCAATCGACTCGATAATTGTTAGCATGTGTGTCGCGTGTAATGAGGGGGTTATGAATGTGCGTCAAAAAACTACAGTGTGCCGGGAATGAACTGTTACATAATTCAGTATTTTGATGAACGCGTTTTTTTGAATTGTACGCGAGATGTGACCATGTATTTTCTCTGATGTAATTCATGTATCTAAATGTATTACCGAAATTTTGTTGATGGCTTCTAGGATATCCGGATCTAATGAGTTTCCACATTTCATATAATTGTAAACATCTTTTACATTTGTTTTATCTGGGCAAAGTATTATGGGAAACTTAGAGTCGAATTTTATCTTATATGTTACTTGTATAATTTTACAGACTTTTCTGAAGTGTATGCGTGAGAACCCCTGTGGCGTTGCATGACAAAAGCCTTGTAGCATGCAAAAAATATGACATAAAAAGTAGCGTATGGGTTTAGTTAAGATTTTACTTACATACCACAGCTGTTGATTACGGTGAACCTCTTAGCAAGTTAGTTAATTGATGTGACTTGTGGATTTATTTCAGTGACAAACTCATTTTTGTCCAGTGCGTTGCTCAGAGAGGGGTAAATAAAAGGCAGGGAAACTTCGCCATGAGGCTTTCTTCACATTTCAGCCTAGACTAGGACATGTAGGAAACATATTCAACCGCGGGAAAGCACTGGCAAAGCAATTATGTTTGTCATTTATCAATCTTTTGCTTTAAACGTATGTATTTTTCTGCACGTTCATCCGGCCTACTGATAAGGAAAAAATATGTACTGGAAACTTCTTCTTATATTGCACCGAATTTTATATATTATGCGCGATGAATCTGCCACCACCAGTGGACTACTTTAGAGAGTCCGTCTTGCTAGCACAACAGCACTGCATGTAGTTCCTGGATGGCACGTTTGCGAGAGCTCACCTAATCGTTGTGGCTACCTGTGTACATGCCTTTTTTGAAGCAAATACGTAAAGGCTGTTAAGCCAATTAATCGAGAAAACATTACACTCGTCACTCTGTCACATAGTACGAGTACTTTTATTGAGATACAAAGGAATAAAGCTTTCTTAGTGGTGCTTGGTCTGATTTTGAGCCTCCCTGGATGCAAAGTAGTGCATCGACAAGGGTGGGGTACACGTCAATTTTTGCCGAAATGTGAATGCGAATGAATTATATAAATGTAGTGTACATGCATTGTGCTATAAGTGTATATAAACAATTAATCTAAATGTTTTCTTCATTTTTATAATAAGCTAATAAAGGCACTCACTCTCTCGATTCTCGAACACACTTTAAAAGCTGGCGGATCACACAAATCATAACAATTGAGATACGCTGAAACTTGATTGCCGAGCTTACGCTTTGGTGGTCGCGGGATGCTCTTCCAGCATGTGATGGCTACGAAGGTTGATGAAAAATGGAAAGAAGAAATACTCCTTGCTGATGTCTACCAAAAGCACCGTTTGCCCTGTTGGAGAAGGAGGCTTACCCTCGAGGAGGTTTGCTACCCCACACTGCGGGAATGGTAAAGGAGAGTATAAAGATGAGGAAGAGAGGAAGAGATGAGAAAAAGAAAAAAAATGCCAGTCGCTTGGTTGACGCGTTTGCAGTGCTGGCAATACAAATAAAAGGTGTTCACATAAGCCCATCATCCTCAAGGAGAGCAAGAGGCCTTTCACTGCCTTTGAGCCGACGAAAGACGAGGACGGTGCTCCAGCAGTATTTGCAGAAAGAGTGGCCTATCGTCCAATTGTCGTTACGCGTCAGAAAGGTTTTGTCTCTCAGATGCCAATCGAGGGCAATGGCATAACAGATGCCCGATATCTTCTTCGGTGCGACAGACATCGCATTCCGCAATGTTGGTCAATTCAATGAGGGTTGTTTATGATTTTGTGAAGGCAACCCCCAACCAAAACCTACAAAGGAGCGAAGTTTCAAGTTGAAAAAGCCCGGATAGAGGTCGAACTCCCAGCCGAGGTTTATTTGGTGGAGTCTCTATGTCTCCTCATGCTTGTGGAGTTTCACTCCAGTAGACAGAGGCTATGTGCTAGGTGACCAAGTTGCTTTGCAGCGTCTGTGCTTGCCAGAGGAATCGAAAGGATGTGATCTTCTTGATAACATGTGTGATCCACGTTGTCTGCAAAGTCATTGCCACTGATTCACAATGGCCAGGTAGCCAGTGAAAATTAACCTCGCGGCCTCTTTATATGACGTGTCGAAGAAGCTTGACAACCTTGTACGTTAGCTGTTCGTGGCAACCTTGTCGAAAGACTGACTGCATGCTCTGAAAGGCCAATTTCATGTCGGAAGACAGAGCCCATTTACTCGATCTCGGGGATGTGATGTATTCTAGGGCGCCACGCAGAGCCGCAAGTTCTGCCGCCGAAGACGTATTGACGTGTGACAGCTTGACTCGCAGGGTGATTCATCCAGCTGGTATCACCACCACACCGAAAGATTTAGATGGCTTATTAGAACACCTGGCTCAATTAGGGTAGTAATACTGTAATTGCAACCGATGCACCTATGAGGGACGAGAAAAGAAGTGTGCGTATTTTTTCTTTCTTATTATCCTGGTCTTTTTTATTGCGCTTCCCAGAATATACGCCGATACTTGAAGCAGAAGTAACGGCTATTATTCTAACTCTTCGCAAATTTCCTGCGACTCATTCGACAGCTGTACTTTTGATTGATTTGTTATCCGTGCTTTCATTTTTATCATCATGAGTAACAGCAGTGAGGTTCAGGAAAGTTTTCCTTCATGGGAACTCATCCAATAATACTACAGCGAATCCAGAATTCTCGCACTTGCACTTCGCATCAAATAATAACTGGCATCCCACGTGTAAAGTGGAAGTCTCCGTAGAAAAATTACGGTGTCGTATACCACCTCTCAATTTATACTTAAGCAGGTCTTCTCTGGCACATTCCGCTTTGTGCTCTAGGTATATAGAACCTGAAAATATTGAACGCTTTCTTCTAACATGCCGCCATTTGAAAAATCAAAGGAAAAATAGGTTTCAAAATTTCATTTCAAAAACTACAATTTTTACTCAGTACTACAAATATTCTGTCCTTGGGGCTGCTTCATTGGATTTTAGCAACAGCAACGCCTGTGGGGACCTCTGAAAATTCCTACTCAGTGTGGTACACGTTCCTCTAAAACCGAAAAAGAAAGCACGTTACCCGTTCTCCCGATTTTGAAACGAACTCCCATTACAAGTTACTGTACGTTAAAAAGAAATTGCTACAGTTACATTTCGAAAATTGTAACGTATCATTACATTACCATTACATTTGAATTTTTTTATAAAAGTATAGGGTCGCTTAATCCCGGAGCGATTTGAAATGAGAAAATTAAACTCACATCAAAGTTCGTGTAATATACGAATTCGATACAACTGAAAGCACGTTACACCAGAATCCTTCAATGCTTTTCCAGTCACCAAACTCTTTCGAAACGCTGTGGGGAGAGCTTGACAGGTCGCCAAAGTGGCCGTGCGCTTGCGCAAGGAGCACACATGAAGTCTCCGTAACATTGAACAGAGCTTCGCTGCGTATAGAAAGCTGGACACCCGAGAATTTGGGAAGCATCAGCGTTCAGTTTTTCACGTTTTTTTCTAAATTTGTGTAGCTGAACGTTGTCAGAACTTTGTGTTGTACGTGAGCGAAGATGCGAAAGACTAGCTTTGGGCTGAGTTCCAACCCCTGCTAGAGATGCTAGGGAGAAGCTGTTTAGTTTCACGAGGGATGGTGATAACAACGACGTCTGGAAACATGTAATGCCGCGACAGGCGGCTGGTGGGTTTACCTTTGCCGCTGGAAATGTTAGAGCAAGCGAGAAAGATTCCAATGCCACCGACGTTAATTGGACTGATGACTCCGTAGGGAATGAAGGAAAATATGCTTTTGTAACGCGAGAAGGCATGTTGCCTGCCGGAGCTCTTTCCGTGGCAGCTTGCTACTTTTATTAGGTTCTTAACGTTATGAAGTGCTTCGCCTTTATATCGTCTTGCAGTTGTTAATTTTTTTCTTCTTGTATTGACCAATCCGAACAAAAATAATATCTTTTTCAAAACCTTACTAGAGTTCGCTTGATTTGTTCAACAGTTTTTCTCGATAGAAGGCTGCCTACATTTAGTGGTCTTGCAGTAAGCTTTTCTAAGCTAGGAAAAGTGTCATTCATAACTGTCCAACCCTCAAATTGTCTCGGAAACCATGAATAACAAAAGAGCTGATAAAGAAAATTGAAAAACGAGGAAAGTTGTGTGCCGGGTTTATCAAAGCTCGTGAACTTGCTGACCTTAATAAATTCAAGGTGTATGCAAATAGGCTAAGCAAGGAAATAAGAAAAG